AGAGCGGTTCGGGCAGTTCATTCGGTTCAAGTAAGGTTAGTTAGAAGGATGCCAACCGTAACGTTCACAGATGCTAATTTCCAAGGGATCGACCCCATGCAAGACGACCCTATGGTTATCAGTGTAGAGATCCATAATTGTATCATTAAGAAAACATTGGTGGATCAGGGCAGCTCGGCCGACATCTTGTATTGGAATACCTTTAAGCAATTGGGAATCTCTGAGAAAGAATTGATCCCATATAATGAACCTTTAGTCAGCTTTTCAAGAGAAAGGGTCAGCGCCAAAGGTTACATTAAGCTTTTTACTTGGTTTTTCTTTGATGAAGAGGAGTACCGAGATATCCAAGTCAAGTACATCGTGGTACACGCCAATACATCATACAACATTCTCCTTAGCCGTCTATCTTTAAACGCGTTAGGAGCCATAGTCTCTACGCTTCACCTAACCATGAAATTTCCATCTGATACAGGAAAGATCCTTACAGTTCATGCAGACCAAAAGGTCGCCCGAGAATGCTACTTTGCCAGCTTAAGAATCACTCCCTTGAAAGAAAAACCCAGGTCAAAATGGGTTAACTCAGTAACCCCATTATCTTCAGCATCCCTCTCAACTTGGGATCTTGACCCAAGATTGAACAACGAAGAACACGTAGAACCAATCGAAGAGAAAGTTTCCATACAGATCAGGTCGATACAATCTCAGGTCACGTACATTGGGGCCGGCCTAGAAGAAAATGATCGGCTGGTGTTAAGTAAGGTGATCATGATGAACAGCGACCTCTTCGCAAACTTCATGTGCCATAAGTTGTCTATCTGCCCTGAGGCTAGGTCGATGACTCAACGAAAAAGAAAAATGGGAACAGAAAGAAAGGTAGTGGTAGAAGAGAAAGTCGCCAAGTTGCTTGAAGCTAGATTCATTCGGGAAGTGCAATACATGACGTGCTTGGAAAACGTGGTCATGGTTAAAAAACCCAACGATAAATGGAGAATGTGCACAGATTACACCAATCTCAATAAGGCTTGTCCGAAAGACACTTACCCATTACCAAACATTTATAGGCTAGTACACAGTGCGGCCAGACACAAGATGTTGACCTTTCTGGATGCCTACTTGGGGTATAATCAAATTCGAAAGCACGCACAGGACAAAGAAAAAGCTGCCTTCATAACCAATTCGGCTAATTATTGCTATCGCGTTATGTCTTTCGGCCTAAATAACGCTGGGGCCACTTATCAAAGACTGATGGATAAAATCTTCAGGCACCAGATTGGTAAGAATATTGAGGTGTATGTCGATGACATGGTTGTAAAGTCAAGTGACCTCGCTAAACACACAATTGACCTCGCCGAGGTGTTCACCAACTCCACAATCACGACATGAGACTCAACATGAAAAAGTGTGTCTTTGGAATAGATGGTGGCAAGTTCCTCGGTTTATGTTGACATACGACAAGGGGCATTGAAGCCAATCCTGACAAGTGCCAAGCAGTGATTCACATGAGAAGCGCGCAAAACATTAAGAAGGTACAAAAATTGGCTAGGCGATTAACCTCCCTATCATGATTCCTCCCTTGCCTAGCCGAAATAGCCAAACCCATCATTGGCTTATTAAAAAAGGCAAGTAAATTTAGCTGGTCAAAAAGTTGTGAAGAAGCATTTCGTATGCTTAAGTAGCGACTCGACACACCACCAACCCTCTCTAATCCTGATCCCCACCTAGACATGGTGGTATACATGTGCGTTTCCAACGAAGCAATTTTCAGTTTTGGTACAAGAGAAAGACACACAAAGGCCTGTCTACTTTGTCAGTCGGATGCTACAAGAATCTAAAGAGAGCTATCAGCTTTTGGAAAAAGTCGCGCTTGGGCTTGCTCACACAGCTTGGTGCCTCCGACAATATTTTCATCGTCACCAGATTATCGTACGCACTGATTGCCCGATCGCCAAAGTTTTGAGAAAACCCGAATTGGCAGGGCGCATGATGGCATGGGCAATTGAGCTATTAGAGTTTGACATATCATTCGAACCAAGAGACCCGATCAAATTGCAGTGATTGGCCGATTTCATCAATGAACTATAGCCAAAAGGGAATTTTGAGAACGGTCAATGGACAATGCATGTAGACGGCTCTTCTAATAATCAAGGTAGCAGGGTTGGAATAATCCTAGAAGGACCCACAGGTTTGGCGATTGAGCAGTCTTTGCATTTTGCATCCAAAGCATCAAATAACCAAGCTGAATACAAGGCATTACTAGCAGGATTGGGGCTGGCACAGGAAGTAGGCGTCTAGAAATTGAGTTGTTGGACTGATTCAAAGGTCATCTTGGAGCAGGTAAACGATACTTTCCAAGTCAAAGATGCCCACCTACTAAATTATTATCACATCTTCCGGGGCATGTGCTAGAATTTTGACAAAGTAAGAGTGAAGCATTCCCCGCATGAGAACAACGAAAGGGTCGATCAGTTGGCTCGGCTAGCCAACAGCGCCACAAGTCCGGACAGCTCTGAACCACACTTCACTTAGAACTTTCCACTCCAAGCATTGGTGCCACTGAGTGCCTTGTAGTAGCCCAACTAGTGGCAACATGGATAAGTGAGATTATATGTTTCATCACGAAAGGTAAGGTACCAACAGATCCATCGGCTGCCAAAAAACTTCGAACCCAAGCTACTAGGTACTTGGTTGTTGGTGGAGAACTTTACAAGAGAGGTTTCTCAACACCTTTGCTCAAATGCGTAGACTCGGAGCAAGCAGACTATGTGTTAAGTGAAGTCCATGAAGGAATTTGCGGATCCCACTCGGGTGGAAAGACCTTAGCCGCCAAAGTGATGAGGGCTGGCTACTATTGGCAAACCCTCAAAACTGATTGTGTTCAATTCATCAAATGATGCTCCCAATGTCAAAAACATGGCAACCCAATCCATGCTTCAGTCGAGGAACTGCATAGCATCAGCTTCCCTTGGCCATTTACATTATGGGGGATGGACATACTCAGACCATTCCCCCTCGCAAAAGGGTAATGCAAGTTCCTCTTGGTTTCCATTGACTACTTCACAAAGTGGATTAAAGTTAAACCACTTGCTACATTCACAGTAGGCATGGTTCAGAAGTTCCTATGGAAAAACATCATCACACGCTCCGGTATCCCACACGCCATCATAACGGATAATGGTCTTCAATTTACAGATCAAAAATTGAATAAGTTTTTTCAAGATTTGGGCATTCGCCACCAATTCACGTCGGTAGAGCATCCTCAAACAAACAGGCAGGCTGAGACTGCAAATAAGGTGATCCTCACGGAACTGAAGAAATGCTTGGTCGACGCCAAGGGAGCTTAGGCCGAAGAGTTGTTGGAGGTATTATGGGCTTACCGATGCACTCCTCAATCAACCACGAAAGAAACTCCCTTTCGATTGACATACGACACCGATGCCATGATCCCGGTTGAAGTTGGAGAAGGGTCCTTTCGTTGACTACACTTCGATGAGAATTCTAATGACACATCCCTTCGTGCTGAAATCGATATGGTTGATGAAGTGCGTAACAATGCTCAAATAATTGTAGAAGCTTGCAGGAAAAGAATGACTCGAAGATTCAATTCCACCCTTACAAAGAGGGAATTTAAAGAAGGACCTAGTGTGGAGGGTCCAAGGGTCAGCCAGGAAAAACCCTTGAGAAGGCAAGTTGGTAGCCAATTGGGACGACCCATTCAGAATCCGACACAACCTTCATAACAGAGCATACAAGCTTGAGGAGCTTTTGGGCAAGATCATCCCAAGAACTTGGAACTCCACTCACTTGAAGACTTATTATAGTTGAAACTTTTTTTTGTAATTCAAGTTTAAGTTGATGTATATAAAGGGTGCACTCGTTTCCTTGATCGATTTTTTCTCCCCTTATAAAAACGTGAAAAAGGGTTTTGGCCAGCAAGGTTTTTAACAAGGCACCAATCAATGAAATATAATTCATTAATATTTCAACATTTTCTTCTCTACTATTCAAACATCACAAGGCTTCCCTCCCGAGTGACCCACTCGGCCAAGGACGTGCCTTCGGAATTCGCACAAAAGGCTTCCCTCCCGAGTGACCCACTCAACCACGGACGTGCCTTCAAAATTTGCGCAAAAGGATTCCCTCCCGAGTGACCCACTCGGCTGAGGATGTTCCTTGGGATTTCTCTCAAAA